AGTGGGTCAGAAACACAGATACACACACACTCAAAACCTTGTTTTTCAGTGCCTGCTGCCAATATCTAGCAAGCTGGGTAAATAATAGAATTGTTTCATTCATTTTCTTTTTGACTTAGTCCCTTTATTTTATCAGCGTTGCCACAGCGGAATGAACCGCCAACAGCGGATGTTCTTCCAACTGCAACCCATCACTGGGAAACACCCAAGCACACTCTTTCACACGTACACTACAGCCAATCTAGCTTATTCAATTCTCCTATTGCGCGTGTCTTTGGACTTTGGGGGAAACCGAAGGTCCCAGAGGAAACCCATGTGAACACCGGGAGAACATGCAAACTCCACACAGAAATGCCAACTGACCCAGTAGTCGTGCTACCCACTGCACAACTGTGACGCCCTTATTTGAATTATTTACTATATATAATTTTATTTATTGATTTTTTTTCTCTGTCATGTCGGTTTGAAATATCAATTTACAATTTTGCCCATAGTTTTTCAGGTAGCTGTGCAGGATGGTTTAGAAGCATCTTAGAGACGTTGCCAAAGTTCTTCTCGATTTAGTTTTTCTGAGTTTGTCTTAGTTAGTTTATGTCATTCCAGACAGACTGGATGATGATCAGATCAGACCACTGTGTGGAGCACTGGCTGTTGACAGACACCCTTTGCAGACTATAACCTCACTGTACAATTAACGACAAAAATAATGTTTGGAAATGTAAATTGATATTTGGAACTGACATGCTAATGAAAAATATAGAAATAACCAACTTTTAAACCTTTTTTGGTGAAATAGCTGGATTGAAATACACTTTTTAGTGAATTTCACATAAATAGTTAACTATATGCGACAAAAAAAATAATTAGATTTTTACAATCTTTTAATTTTTTAAGAAAGTGTTATACATTCTTTATTTCCAATTAGTCAAAGTTAAAAAGAAAGTGAAAGAAATCCACTATTTCACTTACTTTTATGCTATTCAGGAGCCACGTGCACCCATGACAGGTATAATGTTCTCTAATGTTATCTCTGGCATTGGCATTGGCATGACATTTTGTACAGTATTGCCAAAGCATTTTAGATATAAAAAATGCACTATATTAACATCAAAGTAACAAAGTAATACAATATACAGCAAGCGAGAAATAATTAAAATAAAGAGAATAAAAAAAAGGAATAAAAACAGACAACATCTCTAAAAATTATAACAATTCCAAAAATAAAATGTGTAGATTGTATTGATAAGGCAAATGAGTTGATCAGCCATTTCAAATAGTGTTCAAATGTTTTACAGCCAATTTAGATCTATTTTTGTCCTCTCTGACTGTCTGACAGTAAAGTTTTTTCGAGTCGTTTAGATTAAAGAATGAATTATTTGATGTTTCTCTAGCTCTTATTAATAATAATAATAATAATTCCTTACATTTATATAGCGCTTTTCTGGGCACTCAAAGCGCTTTACACACAATGGGGGGATCTCCTCATCCACCACCAGTGTGCAGCATCCACCTGGATGATGCGACGGCAGCCATTTTGTGCCAGACCGCACACCACACACCAGCTGATTGGTGGAGAGGAGACAGTGATGAAGCCAATTGGAATATGGGGATGGTTAGAAGGCCATGATGGACAGAGGTCAGTGGGCAGATTTGGCCAGGATGCCGGGGTTAAATCACTACTCTTTTCGAAGGACATCCTGGGATTTTTTTAACGACCACATAGAGTCAGGATCTCGGTTTAACGTCTCATCCGAAAGACGGCGCTCACTGAGCAGTATGGCGTCCCCGTCACTATACTGGGGCATTAGGACCCACACAGACCGCAGGTTGGGCGCCCCCTGCTGGCCTCACTAACACCACTTCCGGCAGCAACCTAGCTTTCCCATGTGGTCTCCTATCCAGGTACTGACCGGGCGCAGCCCTGCTTAGCTTCAGTGGGCGACCATGTGAGAGTTGCAGAGAGCTAGCTGCTAGCTAAATGTGTGCATACATTTGATGAAAGCTTTAGAAAACAAAAAACAAATTTCCAGGATGTTTTATTAGATTCAAAAACCATGGCTGGATGCATTGTAATTCTCAAAAAGGTGAGAAAAAAAAAAGAAAAGAAAAAAATTTCACTACATACTTATTGTAATGACGGGTAGGGAGTGACAGAGACAACTGGAGGTAAGATCCATAATGCAGGTTTATTCAGCGTCAGGCAAGCAATGATCAAACAGGTGCAAACGGGTATATTCAGGCAGTCCAGAATCATAGTCGTGTAAACTGGCAATAGGTCATTAGGCAGGCGGCTAAACAGGATAACAAGGAAGAACAAGGCTAGGGTCTAAACACGGTGATAAACAAAGACGGAGAAACGCGTTGTAATGTCACTAGTAGTTAACACGACTCGGCAAACGGGATGGGTGACTGAGTGGCTTAAGTAGTAAGTCTAATGAGTCTCTGATAGTCCTCGGGTGTAGTGTGTGTAATCAGTCTAGATGAATGAGCAGACGTGAGTGTGACCGGAGAGCATGTATGCATTTGTAGTTCAAGAGAAGGCGGAAGTGTAGTCCATAATGTTCGTGTGAGAACCAGCGATCTCTGGAGAGCGATCGCTGGTTATGTGACACTTATATTGTTGTTAATATACCTGGGTGGCCCACCCAAATAAAGTCTATGTGTGGGAAGCACTGTGATGTAATGTACTATTTCAAAAAGGTCTAATCGTGAGCCCATAAGCCAGTTATTTTGCTAATTGTGATTAAAATACTTTCTGTTTAAAATAAAGAGGAAAAAAAGCAAGCACTGGAGATCTCTTGTACTGAATTGGTATCAAACTGTGACCCCAAAACCAATTTGTGACTTATCTGTATGGTTACACCGCATATGGTTATTTACGTTTCAGTTATATTTATTTTAAAATTTATTACAAACAGTCTAGTTTAATATTAAAAAAGGAATTGTATTTCTTTGAAGTCTACACTGAATTTGATTTATGTCAGTAGCCCTTATTCCAGTCTTCAGTGATACTTGGTCAATTCACATATTTTGAAAGATGTAAAATAAGTCTCAGACTCAGATTCAACTTTATTATCCTGTTTAGGGGATCTAAAATTGCAGCAAGGTGCCATTACACAGGCGAAGTTCCATGTACACATTAATAAAATATTTCCTCACAACATACCATACATCACATTGTAGGTGCATCTCCCTCCCCAATGGACTCATTTAATGACCTAATGGCCACCATTATTAAAGAATTTCTAACTCTGTTTTTCTTGCAAATAGGAACTCTAAAATGACGTGCTGATGGCAACAGCTGAAACGGAGGTGATCCGGGGTGCATAGGATACCCTGAACTCTCTTTAAAACACCCTGAGCTCTCTTTAAAACAAAATGTCCCTAGAGTGTGGATGTAAAGATTAAGCTCAAAACATCCCATAAATAATATTTTTTAACTCTTTGAAACTATCCCCTTTAGGCTTTGATCCTAGTTGTGCCATTTTGGTGACTGCTGCTTTAAATTCAAATGAGAATTAATCTTTTGAGAAAAGAGGGCAGAGCTACAGATACTTATGTAGCAGATTCAAAAATAAGACTAACCTCCTATGCTAATAAAGGAGAGCTCTTTACTAATGGGCTGGTCTTTTCCCCTTCCATGTCATGTAAAAAGGAGGAATGTCAATCAAAGTGTTTCTGTACACTCTTTTCATTAAGAGTGATTATAAAAAAAATTAAGTTTTACATTTTTACCATTAGAAGCTGGTTATATTCACAGACTGTTGCTACACAACTGTTTAAACCCTTTACAAAGGTGATTTTGAATAATAGGTCTCCTTTAATATTAGTTTTATTCAGTTTTATTCAACAGTTCTTAAGTAGGCTAGATCATGATTGTATAGTGGGTTCACAGTAAAATTTTTAATGTAATGACTTTAAGTGCAGTCGCCCTGTTAGTGTGGTTCAATCCAAACAAACTCTTTCACAATTCAACTTAAATATGAATGCTATGGACCAAATATTTTTAATCAAATCCAAAAACAGGTCATGAATTCACAAGATGAGACCTTAAAAACAACAGAATCCTCAAGCATAACCTATTTTTGCTTCATAACCTTGAAAATGCCATCTCTTTGCAACAGAACTCCATTTGTGTGCAACCGAGGAATTTCTGGTGCTGTTTTGTGGTGTGTGATGTAATGTGGTTAATCGATAGCAAATTACAGGATGTGCACAAAGTTGTTCCCTCAAACTAAAACTGCGAAAATATGAATTATCCATTGATTTGTGTCAGCAGATTTTGGCATGAAACTCCGATGAACTTGCACTTCTGTTAATCAGCCAAGCAGACAAAATGTATGCCAATACTCAAACATTGGGCAATTAATCTCCCTGGCGCTCAACACAACTGACACACAGATGACCCACAATTATTTGCTGCAATCTTTTCTATTAACACTAAGGTCTTGATACTTATCTCTTTACTGTTGAGTTTGATATGTTGCATTTCCATAAAGTTTTTTTTTGCCTTTCAAATGCTTTTTTGGTTATATGTATATACACTACACTATTTTCAAATAAAATTATTAGTCCATTATTAGTTATTATTGATTTTATAATAATAATAATAATAATAATAATAATAATAATAATAATATCAATAATAATAATAATAATAATAATAATAATAATAATAATAATAATATTAATAATAATAATAAATAATAATAATAAAAATAAAACTAATAATGATAATAATAATAACAATAATAGTTAATATTTGAGTGATTTCTTAAGGATCATTTGACTCTAAATGACTCAGCCTGGAGACAAAGTTGAAAATTTATCTTTATATTTATTTATTTTATATTTATTTATAGTGCTATAACGTTTCACAATTTTTACTATGTTTGTGATGAAATAAATGCAGCCTCGGGTAAAAAATCCTACTGAACCCAAACTTTTGACTGATAGTGTGTATATTTTTTAATCATTGCCGTTTTTCTTTCCTCTCTCAGGCATTTTAGAGACGAAGAGGCTGGACATTGTCCGCACACGAGGTCCCATCCCGCAGTCGCTGGGTGGAGTTATATACTATGCAGCAGATCTACCTATATGGTGGCAAGTGCCTCAGTATGTCCTCATCGGTGTCAGTGAAATCTTTGCTAGCATCGCAGGTAAGTGGTCATTTGCAATTCATAACATACACACTAAGACTAACATTTACAATTTTAAAAGTGATAACATTTAACATTTTTTGGTTCAATTGCATCATCATATTAATCAAGGTTTATTGTGCCAAAATATTACACTAAAGTAATAATAATGAAAAGGTTGATCTTTTTTTATAACTTATGAAATGAACAAGGTGAACCTAATGAAAAAGTTCCCCATGGACTGTGCAATTTCTGCAATATCATGGAATTTGAAAAGGTCAATTCCAGATATTGAAAATCATAAAATTTATTTATTCATCAATTTATTTACTTATGTATTTGTTTATTTGTCCATGTCATGTTATATCAGGGTCAGGGAATGTTGTTTGTCACTTTAAATGTTTGTGTTAAATTTTTAAAATATACTTTTCCTATACTGTGTCATTTCCTTTGTGTGTGTGTGTGTGTGTGTGTGTGTGTTTGAGAGGTGCATATATATAGTCCTAATAATCAGTCCACACTGCTGTAAAAAAAAAAAAAAAAAAAGCTGGCATGCCGGAAATAAAACATAAAATAACGGATGTTAAATTACAGACCTTTACCACAAAATAACAGACGGTAAATTACAGAAATTTACTGGAAATTTCAATTTAAGGAAATTTCAATAATTTAATGTCTGTTATTTTACTTTTTTTGCGGCACCCTAGCTGCGGGGAAAAAAAATAAATAAATAAATAGCTGATTTTTTTTTTTACAGATGAGTTACAAGCTGTTTGTGTGTAATCAGGGGTGATCTAAAACTAGTGTGTGCGTGTGTGTGTGTGAGGTGCCTGATGGAAGTTGTAGTTCATATAGTGGCAGATTGGTAGTCTGGGTGATATTGCATGTGTAGATCACTGGTGATTGTGACAAAAACTCTTAAAGAGACAGTTCACTCAAAAAACGGAAATTTCATTTAATCATTTACTCAACCTTCACTTTTCATTAATCTTTCTTTCTTTTGTTAAACACAAAAAAAAGATATTTTGAAATATGTTGGAAAACTGTAACCATGGACTTCCATAGTAGGAACAACAAATAATATGGAAGTTTGGATACAGGTTTCTAACATTTTTCAAAATATCTTATTTTATGTTTAAATGAAAACAGAAGCACATAAAGGTATAGTACAACTAAAGGATGACCTAATGATGAGTAACCTTTCATTTTTTGGTGAACCATCCCTTTTAAGTTGCATATGTGTATTTTTAGGACTAGGCAAATATGAGCCAGAATATTTATTTATATAAAAAAAAAAACATTCAAATTACACATATTTAAATAGTTGTATCTCGCAAAACATTGTCATATCATATCAAACCATACCTTAATGGAAAGCTTATTCCACTTATTTATTCCTTTTCCAGGTTAATTATACATCGTAGTAAGACAAAAAAAGAAAACGTATGAACCGATATGACTGGTTTTGTTTGTCCAAAGTCACATATGATCCTGACCAGTGCTGTGTAAGTTACTTTTAAAAAAGTAATTAATTACAAATTACTGTTTACTACTCGAAAATGTAATCTGATTCCATTACTATTTACTTTGTGTAAAAAGTAATCCAACCACTAATTAATTTACTTTGAAGTTACTTTTAAAACATAAAATATACCTATAAACATACAAAATAAACTGCAGCTCAAGTGCTTCAACAAGTTGCTGGTCGAGTTAAAAGCAGTCGAAAGTTCTTCAAACACTGCACATAGAATGTGTTTCACAGCAATATTGTTGTTTTTACGCTCAATAAAATCAAAGTAACGTTTGCAACGGAAAACGTGGTGTTAAAATAATTATTTTTTCTTCTAAAAACTATAATTCTAACGTAAGTAACGCAATTACATTGACTTTAGTAACTGTAATCAAATCAAAATGTAAATTATTTATTTAAAATGTAATTCATTACATTACTGCATTCTTCAAAAAAGTAATTATAAAGTAAGGCTTAACTGCAGAACCCGTTACACCCAACTCTGATCCTGACTATGATTAGATGTGGATACTGTATGTAAACATAGACTGTCACACAATGTGTTACTTGTTTTGATGCAAGTGCAATTTTTAAATGCGGCAGTGTGTCATCATAACTCATCAGTGTATTTAAATTGATGTTCTGCATGAAATGACCCCTTAAGTCATGGCGAGCCTGGAGAAATGTAATGAGAAACACTTCAAGCTCAGTTTTGCTGTCATTCTTCTTGTGGCGTATGGCTTCTCATCAACTAAAATGCATATAATGAATACCTTTTTCTAATTGAGTAAATGCGCGTGATTGTTTTATGCATGTGCTATCACAGGCGGTTTATTTATTTATCTATTTACTTGCCATTCCAGTTCTCAGTCTCTCTCCATTTTTCTTCTTTTTTTGGTAGGATCATTCATCTGTCCTAATGACCATGCTAATCAATGCATGTCCTTTTAAAACCTGCAGTAAACTTCTCTCAGCCTTGCCTTTTGTGTAGTTGCTCTTGTCTGAGCCGTGGCTGAAATTGCTTGCTAAGGAATCCATGGCTGTATCAATCAGGAGCGATCGATCGGGACTTGGCGATACATTATTGCAGTTGCGCAGTTACGACGGCCAGGGAAAACATCTCGCTCCTGCTGGAACGCACTAAGAAAATATCATGAAAGGCTTCAGCTAGCAGGTTTGAGATTAATGAGAGAACGAATAAAAGGAAACAAAATTGCCTAAAACAGCATTTGTACGAGCAAAAATGCATGGTAGTATTACCACCTTGACTGCTGAAAAGTACAATAATTACAGCAGTTTGTGTCATGATGAAAACTGTGAGAATTCTCATTCTGATTTTGCTTAAGACGTAGGTTTTTTACGATTGATGAAAGTCTAGTAAATAAAAAAAAGTAATGACTTATTATAATAATTACAATAAATTGTTAATTAGGGCTGGGCGATATTGCCAACGCATTATCACGATACCACGTTTCATATAATTTGATAACGATAGTTATTGAATATTATTTAAACAATCCAATTAGGAATATTAGGATTTTATTTATTTTACCACATTACTTTAATTTACCAGCAGTACTAAGGCATTAGTAAATGAACTTTGCGCCCGCGCTACCCAGTGGTCTCTCATAACTAGATGACCATTAATCTTTTTTTCAGATGCAAGTTTATGGCGAAAAGTAAAAACCGCTGCAGTGTTTGGATACACTGTGTTTGTTTGAGGTAATTAGTTTACCGTTATCACTGAAATGTGTATATTCTATACAAAGTGTGAAGCAGATTTGTTAGTTCTACTTGCATGAATTGCGGTGTGCTCTGGGCATTCGGAAAAGTTGAAATGTTTTTTTAAATGGATGAGGCTGGAAAATGCACGCAATTCACAAGTGCGCCTCTTGCACAACATCTGCACGTCACTCTCATATGTGTGTCGTGCAAGTCAGGCACCTCCATTGGAAATGACAAACTTATGCCCCAGGCTTGTTGGCACTGCTTCCAAGGCACGTGCTCAGCAGCCATATTTCAATAAAACTAGAGCGCTTCATACCAAAACTTCATACCGAATCTTTTTTAATCGATCTTGACAATGGTGTTCGGTCAATAAATATCGATACCAATTTTATTGCCCAGCCATGTTGTTAATTATATTTTCTTAAAAATTAAACGGTATTTATTTTGAACTAATAAAATAAAATAGTATGTCCTAGATAGTATTAATTTGTCACTTAATGCGGTACGTTGTGCATGCTAAACGATCTAAGCGGTTCTTAACAGTACCGAATTAATATTCTTTGGTTTGTAAAGATAGCAGAGCTCTTTTTTTGGTGCATATATATATATATATATATATATATATATATATATATATATATATATATATATATCACAGCAAGAAGGTCGCTGGGTCACAGGTTCGAACCTCGGCTCAGTTGGCGTTTCTGTGTGGAGTTTGCATGTTCTCCCTGCCTTCGAGTGGGTTTCCTCCGGGTGCTCCTGTTTACCCCACAGTCCAAAGACATGCAGTAAAGGTGAATTGGGTAGGCTAAATTGTTCGTAGTGTATGAGTGTGTGTGTTAATGTGAGTGTGGATGTTTCCCAGAGATGGGTTGTGGCTGGAAGGGCATCCACTGCGTAAAAACTTGCTGGAAAAGTTGGCGGTTCATTCCGCTGTGGCGACCCCGAATTAATAAAGGGACTAAGCAGACAAGAAAATGAATGAATGAATATATATATATATATATATATATATATATATATATATATATATATATATATATATATATATATATATATATTGTATTATTACATTTGTTTTGTAATGTGAACCTAAACAATATCTTACAAAAAAAACTAAAACATAAACTGAAATTTAAATAAATAATACATAAACATGTCGATGTATACTTTGTTGGCATAGTAAAGTACAACATTTGAAAAATCTGAAACTGAGCAACAACATCTAAATACCGAGCAAATTGCCTATTAAGTTGTCCAAAAATAAGTTCTTAGCAACCCACTACTAATCAAAAATTTTGTTTCAATGTTTTTACAGTTGGAAATCTAGAAAATGTCTTCATAGAACTTAACCTTTATTTAATATTCTAATGTTTTGTGGATAGATAGATGTGCAGTTTATAGTTGGAATTCTATTAATAGAAATATAGAAATCTCTATGAGATGAAGAACTAGTGGGCATCACGGTAGCTCAGTTGTTAGCACAATTGCCTCACAGCAAGAAGCTCGCTGGCTTGAGCCCTGGTTTGGTCAGCTGGCATTTCTGTGTGGAGTTTGCATGTTCTCCCCGTGTTCGTGTGGTTTTCCTCCAGGTGCTTCCGTTTCCCCCACAGTCCAAAGACATGCGGTACAGGTAAATTGAATAAGCTTAATTGGCTGTAGTGTATGTGTTTGAATGCATAAAACATATGCTGGATAAGTTGGCGGTTCATTCCGCAGTGTTGACCTTTGAATAATAAAGGGACTAAGCCGAAAAGAAAATTCATGAATTAATGAAGAA